GTAACTGTAACGGAATACAGTTACTCATATTTTGTATTTTAAATACGTAACGGCGGTACATGTATTCCGTTACTCCCCAACACTGTATTTAACCGTATGGATTAAGAATGGGATGTCAGTCAAGCTCATATGGATGAAGGCAGACGAGCAGATATGTCTGGCAGTGCAGTGCACTTGAAAGCACATTAGATCTCAGGGCTTCCTTTGAACGTTGGGTCAGACAGACGTGTGCTCTTCTCAACAGTGCGTTTAAGAAGTCCTTCATAGCCACATGAGGGATTAGCCCACCTCTCTCCACTTCTCATCAAACACTGGTATACATGGTTACATGCTCATGACGTTGTGACCAAAGTATAATGGGAAACTGAGATGAGTTGCCCCGACTATCTTGGAACATATTTGCAGAATAATATGATGTGTTCTGATACACTACCTTCCTCTCTGGCCAGTTATACTTGGCAAAGATGGCATCGTATGTATCCACCGCCCCATCTGTCACCAACATAATAGCCTGGCTACACTCGCTGCCCCTCCCAGTCTCGTTGAACTAGACATCGGGAGACAGACAGAGAGAGACAAAGGAGGAGAAAAACAGAGGGTTACACGTGATGATCAAAGAACACAAAGCTCTCATCCAGTCAAATGTAAATGTAACCAGTTCATTTATTAACAAACTTCCACTTCCTTCCCATTAGAGCTTATAATGTATCATCACAAGACTCTCCGCTGGATCATGGACGCTAACTGTGCTGTAACAGTGACTTAATGGAATTATAATAGCACGCCTTCAATACGCATGCATGAACGCAAGGTAGAAGGGCTACTGTGAGACAAAATCACAGCGAGGCGTCACTGTGCAGCATTTTATTACACTTTAAAAGATACATGCTGCTGAAATATTTAGATTGTGTGTCTTTGTCCGGATGACTGTTTGATTAATTACATGTCCATAATTAGGAAATGTCAGATCAGTAACCTGAGTCATCGAGTGCCTTGTTTACTTGGATTTTGCATGAATCAGTTGATTTAGCGATTAATTACAACCCTAATTAATTTTATGCATAAAACTGATGTGTGTGCGTGTTTGAAGAGTGCATCTGTGTGCGTCTGTGCGCGTCTGTGTGCGTCTGTGTGCGTCTGTGTGCGTGTATGACCGCGATCATGCATGAGTGCGTTACTTACGTCACTGAGAAGATTGAACGCCTCAGTCAGAGCTATATCCAACATCCCGATGCCTTGAGCAAACAGCTTGTCGAGGTGTTCCCGGAAATGCTGGGAAAGGTTTAGAGAACATTACATCATTACAAACTCGCTGAAAAAGCAGAGAACTAAAGTGACAAAACCACAAAAGGTGACAGAATCACAGGTCTTTATGAAGAAAACACACAGGCAGAGGCAAGAGATAACTACAAAAGCAGAGTTATTACTTTTCACTGTTCCTATCCTAGATAATGTTTTACTGAATTTGCTTTGCCATCATTTATGTGTGAAGAGTTTGCATCAATGGTCTAACGGGCTCTTCACTTCAGTCCTGAGCCAGTTTATCTGGCAAACTCCCCCATTACACTGAAGTGAAATCTCACACACTGACTGAAAAAACCATAATGACCAGTTTCCTTCCCTTGCTTTTAGCTCAACGTCATTTATTGCACCGGGTATGTGTGTATACACGAGTTTGTGTGTGTGCGCATCTGCTCACAGGCATGATTGCGTTACAAAGGATACATTATTTCTCCAGCAAATCATGGTGAGTTTAATGTTTTCAGCAACTGCACAGGTCTCATGTGCACATCTCATTATTTGTAACAGCCTTCGGGTAACAAATACATGGCGCATGCACGCACACACGCACACACACACACATACGCACACACACGCACACACACACACATACGCACACACACGCACACACACACTCCCCATTATCCAGTATAATCTACTTATAGATATTTAGATCCTGTAATTGGCATTTTGAACTCTTCCTACTGAGA